AACCAGGTGAGAGGGGCAGGGTCTCAGGGGGGGATGACACCTATACAGGCCAATGACCCCTGGGCCTGAGGGGCATCCTTTGAACTTGACCAACCACACGACGCCTTGCTGGAATGTTAAAAGTGATTGACAGGACTCACTCAGCAAGGGGCGAGGGGGAAGGGAGAGAGGTATAGGCACACCTGGGGAAGTGACCTGGAAGTCTAAAATGGGACATTACAGCACACCGCACATTGGACTATAAATGAAATCTAATAAAACACAAATGAGAATGAACAGAAACTATTTTCAGAATACCAACAAACAGTAGTGGAACATAAACAAATGGGTTTTCTAAAGCAATCAGAATACTGAGGACTGATACCCATGCCTAGAAATGGCTCCAAGTGTAATTTTTCATAGTGCCATAAGCATCTGATTTGACACTCGATTACCTGCATTCAAACATCTTATTTATAATACAGGTATTACATCTCCTATACTGTGAAATTCAGTATATGATGGATTGCTGTATGATGCTATGCTACACTGGGTGCAATGCTCTTCTTTGTCCACAGTGCTTTTCAAAAACACGCTGAGGGCAAGTAAGATGGGAGCTTGGTAATTTTGTGAAAGAGATTATAAGAGAGAACTCCTTACAATGTCAGGGAAGTGAACACTTTATGCAAAAGTTCTCTTTCAGCCCTCTGAATCAACAGCTAAGCCACCCATGTTGTATGTCATAAAACAAATGATCTGTCCTTCAGCTTTCATTAGCTGAATAAATTCACTATTTAATTCAGCCAGTGCTCAGTGCCACTGATATTAATGTTGTCTAAATGGAGCTGTAATTAGACAGGAAGACCATTCACTTCATATTTGCATAAGATTTCTACAAAAGAATTCTACTAAACAAGGAAAAGCCATAATTAAAGGAGAAAAATTGCTCTCTAGATAAGAAGTGACACCAAAGATGAACATGTCACACAGCTTGATAATAGAAGAAAAACATGGAGGCCTTTGACCTCCTCCTATGGGACTGGCTTCTCAGCTTCCTGATCACCTTGGCATCTCCTGATCACGTTGGCATCTCCTGATCACTTTTGTGAATTACTCCCATGTTCGGTGACCAATTAAAATGTTCACGTTTTTCATTCTCCTCTGCCACATCCACCTGACAAGCCTCCAGCACTGAGACAGAAGTTCTTGTCATCAGTCATCCTCTGTCTGACCTTGATTTTTTTGCTTTTTACCTTTTTCATTTCTGTCACACAGGTGCTGCCATTCATCAAACATCTCCCTGCTCTTCTTTGCAAACAAAGCCTCCTAGTGTCACCTATGCAGCAAATATATAATTGTGTGCCACCCTTTTGATGGGATCAGAGAGGAGAGAAACAAGGTAATTTATGATATTGCTATCTCATAATGGAAAAACAATACTAATAACTTGCCAGCAGACAGCAACTTATTTCTCTATAACAAAAAATTATAGCTTCCCCCTTATGTTACAAAATGAGTAACTGATTAGTCCTGCACTATCCCCTCACCTCAGCAATCTTAATTAATATATGGTAATTAACATATGATGGCACATTAATTGTGCACATAAATTGCAGTATTAGCTTTACTGCATATCTTTCATCTCAAAAACCAAAATAAAAAGCCCCAGTAAGATACCATGATAAAAATGCTGTTCAGTATTTTGTTGAAGTCATGGAAGAAATGTGAAAAAATACAACTTGAATTTCATAGGAAAGATTAATAGATTTTAATAAAGAAGTTGACAACTGAGTGAGCTCCCTGAATCAAGACTCTAATCACTTAACAGCAAAGTTTCTCTTTTTGTTTTATCTCTTGTCTTTCTTCTTTTCCCTCTTGATACAAACATTGACCAGACAAAATAACCATCTAGAAATTTCTTGGGGCATGACTTTCCAGGGCTAAGATTAATGACTGCAAGCAGCAGGTATAATAGCAGGGGGTAAAGAAAACATACACACAAAAGATCTCTACATCTAATTCTAGGATGCTTATTGTAAAATATTATATTTGAACATGCCAATTCAGTAGACGTCACTAAATATTTTTGCCTCAAGTTATTTTCTTTGTTTCCCATTTCTTTATGTAGTTAAATCAGCAAGTATAAATGTCGTCAGACAAAATTATCTTACATCAAACAAATATTGACATGACTTTTAAGGTCTGTTGCTGCAAGGTCAGGATTTAAAAACAAATTAAATTTGATGTATGCCTTTTCAAAGGTCACTTGGAAAGGTGTATGCTGCACCTATTTTACATTGCAATCCCCAGGGAGGCAAACATATTGAATGCTGCAAGTAGACATTGCAATAATGAAGATAATTATGGTAATAGGCAGGTAGGCAATAGGGGCTTAAATAGATCAGAACATATTACTAAGAGAAAAAAGAAATTTCAGTTCATTAAATTAGAAGTAAATGACAACAACTTAGTACTTATTTCAAGTTGAGAGATACTATGCTTTCTTGTGTCTTTAAAAGGACTGAGATATCACAGCAAGAGGCAGTAAAAATATTTCCTTTTCATCCAGCATAGTCTGATGTCACTGCATATGAGGGTCTTATCTGCCCCAGAATATTGGCATTCTGATAGAGGCTGTGCACACATCTCATTTCCTGATTTTCCTTTCTGATCTCCATAATTTTCAGCAGTAAAAGTGAGAAGGCACGAATCCTTTATTATTACACGAGTAATGTAAGGAATAAGTAAATGTCCATTCCTGAAACGTGCTCTCAAGTAAAGGAAGAATTTTTAAGATATGAGCAGAGGAAGAAGTGAGCAGAACAGCCCTGAAGATGTTTAGTGTCCATGTGAGTTGGTATGCGGCGCTGCTATGGCACTACTCAGCTCTGACCTTAGAAAAAGCATGCCCACTTCCCTCAGACACCTCTTTGCTGAATTATTCCCATCTGAAATGTGAATTTACTGCCTTGAAAATATGTACCTGACCAGCAATCACCATGCAATCCCGAGTGCCACTCCTCTGACTTGCCGCATGACTCTGAAAGGTGAACAAAAAAGAGAGCGAGGTGGAAAGATACTGCTCAAAGTTCTGTATCCAGGAGATCCATTTATTTTTGAGAGATTCTGCTTCATTAGCATCCTCTGCCCCTTTGTATAGGTAAAACTAACTTTATGAGATGCATGAGTGGAACAGAAGAGGGAACCAGTGCATGCTGCTGCAGGGCTATGCCTTTAGTGTGAGGAGACCAGCAGCTCTGTTGTCATTGCATCATTTAGCTCACAGATGTGACTTTCACTTTTCTCTCGAGTGACCTCTGCAGGTAGCTCAGCTGAGGGTTAAGACAGTCACCAATGTGCTGTTTTGAAAGCTCTTGACTAGACAAATACCTTTTCCAGGCAGTGTGGGGTGGCCCTCATCTGTTATCTTGGCCAGCCAGACAGCAGGCATTAAGTGAAGACGTGACAGTTCTGATGCTCTGACAGGAAATATGGAATGATAACCATTCAGAGACACACTTACTGTCCTTCCACTGCTTCTCACTGAAAACACCTCTAAAAATGAGGCTGACTCTCATTACTTTCTGCATTTTTCTTGAAACAAGTCTGTAACAACTCCCCAGAGACTGCTCCAGTACTGCTAATGGAAGTTCTGTAAGCTCTAAATTGGCTATTCTCATCCATTTTTTTTTTAAATTACAGCCTTAGGCCACTCTATTGGTTCGGAAAATAAGATATTTTTCTGTCCATGAGAGAAGTGACAAACTCCTGCCATCTAGAAGGTGGTTGCTGAAACATATTTGAGGCAGGTAATGTTTCACAGGATAAAATAAAAGTAAGATTAAAATATTAGCGTTTACATATCTCCTTGGGGTTTTTCTAGAGTTCTTCTTTTTAAATCATGAGTTTGTGTAAAAATGCCCAATCACACAAGAGAAATCTCCATAACACATTCCACATGTTCACAACAACACGGCAGCAAGTGAAGATGGGAATTGTTTATCATTCTTTTCTCTGAACTTCTCACAGCCTTCACCAGGACTATGCCTGGCAAAGTTGTGCCTTTCAGATTAATCAATACTTCATTTTAAAAACAGCTCAAGCCACAGACGGAAGATTTCAGAGATAACTTTTCAGATGCCCCTTACAACTGTTATGAAGAAGAAGCTTGGCTAGGCCAATATTCAAGCAGCAATCAATTTATTAATTAATATGGTAAAGTATGAGCAATACAGCGCTGGGTACAATGGGGGAAGTTTTCCTTCCCACTGCACACCGATGGTTGAGGGTTGCAGGTATTTATAGGGGTACTCATCAGCTTTCTCAGAATTTCTATTCCAAATTTTTACGTCACAATTCTATACACTATTTTGATTTAGTTTTTCTCAGGATGTATCTCAAAGGAGTATCCCCAGATGGTGACGGTCCAGTTTTCGAAAGAAGAAAGACGAATCCCATCTAGTGGGGTCTAGCTCCCCACATGTGTGTTCACCTTTTAATTGCAGAGACTGTAAATCTCATAACAGTGATGTCCAGCTTCCCTTGGTCGAAACTATAAATTCTTGAGGTGATGTTCATCTTCCTTTCTCAAGCTGTTTTTCTCTGCTTCAATAAGGAGTGAGATAAGCATATTTCCTTTATATATATTCCAAAGCTATAGTTTCAAGGATACAAGTAATATTCTAAAATTATACTTCGAAAGGTTATTATTGCAGAACTCTTTAAGGATTAACTACAAGCAAAGCTCCTAAATCAACCAGGGTTAATTGCAAATAAAAGATAGGTTCAAAGGCCTTCTTCCATGCTTTACTTTCCTCAGTTATTATTAGAATTGGCAACTGTCCCATTGTTGGTCTCCACACATATCACAATCACAAATACAAACTGTGAAAAATGCATGTATTATATGACTGGCTTTTCGCAAATATTAAAATGAACGTTATATGTGTTGTGTTAGAAAGGGGAGAGGGGCAGGCCGGTGCTCAGAACGTTCCCGCCGGGCGGCGCGGGCCGGGCGGGCAGCGCACCGCGGCGCACCGCCGCTTCCGGCTTCCGCGCGGCCGCCGAGCCAGGTTGGAGCGGGGCGGGGGCGGGAATGGGAACGGCAGTGGGAATGGGAACGGCAGTGGGAATGGGAACGGGAATGGGAATGGGAATGGGAATGGAGGGGGCAGGCCCGGGCCCGGGGCGCTGAAGGGCGATGGTGCCTCAGAGGGGCCGGGCTAGAGGCGCTGAGGGTCTCGGTTCCGGGCCCTTAGGGCTTCCGTGCCCGAGCAAGCGAAGCGGTGTCCGGCTCCCCCATAATCCAGTGCCGGGGAGCGCGGAGCGCGGCGGTCCGGGTCGGCAGCGGGATGCGGCAGGGTCGGGCGCCCGAGCACCGAGGATGAGAGAAAGCGCTAAGGGCTGATGTGGAAGGGTCGGGGCAGCCGAGCACCGAGGATGAAGGAAAGCGCTAAAGTTGAGCACCGGCAGTGCCCACGGCAAGGGCAGCCCCCACAGCTTCACCCACAGCCTCGGAGCGGGTCTGGGCCGGTCCTGAGGAGGCAGCCGGGCAGGGGGCACCTGAGGAAAGCCCCGCACACCTGGGCACGGACAGCACAGCAGCCACCGGGCCTGCGGGCCCACAGCTTTTAGCCACCTTGCTTTTAAAAGGTGGAGGAAGTCTTGGTACCTGGAAAATAATTTTTGCGTTATTAGGACGTTCAGTTCATGATCCTTTTAAGTATGAACTGCTGTTAATACAGTTTCCCTCAGTGAGCAGCCCATCCCAGCTGTTCCCCGTGTCTGTGACAGCAGGGTGGGCACTGTTCCACCAGACAATGAGGCAAGGCACAGACGATCCAGGAACCTGCAGTTCAGGTGCAGTCAGGGTGTGTCTTTGCAACCTCACTAAGGACAAGAACCCGTGACTTCCGCAGAACTTGGATGCTGGACATTGTTAATGCACCTCACAGCACAACCACCATTCTTTGGAGGTGTGGTGGGAAATCCATAGTCTTTGCCCCTGGTTGCCTTAGCAAATAATGCAGCAGGAGAGTAACAGGAGGTGAAAATTTACAGAGGGGAAGGCAGTGCTGGCAACCCAACTCTCACATACCGCATTTTACCCTTTGAACTATTCACCCCATTCCTGCATAGCCTCCCGATATCTGAGCTCTGCTACTTGTGCCACAGCATCAGCCATTGAGCAGGAGAGCCATGCTTACTCCCACGGCTGCTGCTGTGACCCAGGCACAGCATTTCACTCTGAGGAGGAAGCTTCAAATGGTGAAACAGCCTTTGTGTAGAATGCTTCCCATGCAGGAGCTCCAGTGCTCTGTAGGGCAGCACAGTTGTACCCTCTGGGGCTGAGGGGGGAACCAGGCATGGACCTACAACCTCTTATTTTAGGTCCTTCAGATGCACTTTTCTCTCCCTCAGGGGTGTGGGCTGCAGACAGAATCTGCTGGGTCTTTCCTGCCTGAGCATTTGGTAACAGTGTGCCAAAAGTGAAGGTAGAACACTCTGCAGAGGCATTGGAATACTAATTAGTGATTTCAAAAGGTGATACTCTGCTTTGAAAGGAATTGAAGGCAGACAGGGTTTATGCTGTAATAATTTTTGGAATCATAGCATTGTTAAGCTCTTGTCCAAAAATTACAAATACGGTAAATTTCTTTCAAAATTTGATCCCAGGACAAAGACAACAAATGACCTAAATGAAAGCTCAGAGGGAAAGAGTGATAAGAATATTGACCTACAGGATGTTGTTGTTATTATTGCATGGTGTTTGAAAGCATTGATTCACTCAACAGCTTTGCTAAAGGGACCTGACATTGCAGTTCTGCTGTCACTTAGTTCAGTGCAGCTTTCTGAAAACTGCCATCTGAAATTTCCCATAGCCCGTGTCCTCAGGAGGCGCTAGGGCAGTGCTTTTCATGAAAACAGTTTCTCATTTTGGTGCTTTCCATTATGATAGAATGTGAAGAAGTCAAGGTATAAATACTAACCATTAGATTCTGTCGTTAAATCAGCATTTGAGTGGTTTGGAAATTAGTGTGGAGCCTGATATTGGACTCCCAGTGTCAGAAATGTCACACTCTAGAAAAATGACAGTTGCCAGCAGGCAGCACAGCAATATAATTTTGACTACAAAATATGACACTAATACAATTTAAACATAGTGCAAAATGCAACAGCGCAGGAAAACTGATTTATGTGTGCTATGAAAAGCAAATTTTAGTATCTGGTCAGGACAATATTTTTCTGTGTTCAGGAAAGTTAGGATTCTTTGGTTTATAAGACCTTTTGAATGAAGATACTAATTTTTTTTCCAATTGAAGCTGCTAGAATTGACTGTCTGTTGATGCTGCAGCTGTCCTTATAGTTGCTTATTAAACAGGCAAGGCAAACCAATAAACCTGCAGATAGTAATGGTTTCATTTTTTTAAGGCAAAACCCTTCAAAGAGAGTTAAACACGAAGTTCAGGCTAGCAAAGTTTTCTAGATCACATGATTCTTTGTGGTTCATCACATGGCTCTTCCTTGTGGATTGTCCCCTTATTCTGCATTTCAGAAGAAACTTTCAGGCAAGGAGGTGAATGGAGATGAAGCACAGTTAATGCAGGAACTGTCTAATCCAGGTTTAGTGCTGGATGTGTCATGTGTGTCCATGTATGTACTTACATGTTTTATGTAAGTACAGAAAATGTGGTTTTCCCCCCACAGAGTAAACATGCCTAAAAAGAAGACGGGTGCTCGTAAGAAAGCCGAGAACCGTCGGGAGCGTGAGAAGCAGATCAGGGCTTCACGAGCCAACATAGACCTAGCCAAACACCCTTGCAATGCTTCAATGGTAAAGTGACCTCAAGTATTCTTTATTAAAGTACCTAATTTTTGATTGTGTAAACCCAGTGATAACACCTTGAATGCATTTAATGCCACTAGAATGTCATTCTTCCTGCTATCCTTCCTATTTAAGGTTACCTTTGCACCAAACAGAATATTGATTAAAAGGTTTGGATCCTAATTGTAACTCCCTGTGGAGGTCTGTAAGTTTTATATATTTTTCCTAGTATGAAAATAATTAACCAGTGTTTTATTTTTTCTTTTTAGGAATGTGATAAGTGCCAAAGGTAAGAATTTTTACCCTTCTAAAACCAATAGTTGAGTATTTGTTTCAGACATTTTACAGTTATTTTTAATGCTTTCTTTTAAAGCGTAATACTTTATTTTTGTTTTTTCACCTCCATGTGCCTAGACGACAGAAGAATAGAGCTTTTTGTTACTTCTGTAATTCTGTTCAGAAATTGCCCATTTGTGCACAATGTGGTGAGTAGAAGTGATGAATGAAAACAAGCTGTCCTCAGTCCTGTTTGTGATGTTAAACTCTCAGTATCTATGTTACAGTAGCTTTATCTTAAAGTACCTCTGTGATGTGGAGCAGGTTCTTGTGAATCTGCTGTGAATATCCACCTTGGGAATTGATCTTCTTTGATCAGTATATGTGCCTCTAACCCCCAAAGGTTTGCAAGCCTGGATCATGGCTTGTCTTCTTTGGAAACAATTGTCTCACTTTCTTTTAGGTTTGAGAAATCTGACTGTTTCCATAGATTGGTCATGTGGAGCATTGTTTCATAACAGCAGCAAAACTACAAAAGCTCTGACTGCTAGCAAGGCACCAATAAATACTGCTTTTTTTAGGGATTATATAATTTCTGATCAATATCAATTAAAGCATCAATATATTATTATTTTATTTTTACATAGTTTTCTTATGGTTGCTTGCCTTTTTATTTTAAACAGGAAAAACCAAATGCATGATGAAGTCTTCTGACTGTGTTATAAAACATGCTGGTGTGTACAGTACTGGACTAGCTATGGTGGTATGTATACAAAATTACAGCCCTCTTTGCACTATGAGAATATTCTGTGCAAATCTTCTGGAAAAATGATAAAACAGATTTGTGGGATGATAGCACGTACCATGGCAAATTTGGTTTTTTCCTTGCTTTTCTGTAACAAACTGATTTTTCCCTTATACTGAAACCCCCAAATTTTGAAGTTTTAGATTCAGCTCCTGCAGACTCCAGCACATGTCCTGGATGCTAATGGATCTGTGTTGGTGGCAGGCCCTACACACATGCACGAGGAGCACTGGACCCTTACATGCACCACAGACAATTCCCAGCCTTCATTAAAATGTAGGATTTTTCTGCAGAAACCTGCAGACTTTTGTTGCTGTTGTCTTAGTACTGCAGAGATTGTCAGTAACACAGAGAGGAATCTGTTCCGCTAGAGGGCAATTTTAATGAACAAACCCCCTCTTTTGGGCTCTTAATCAGAGAATAATCATAGCTTCAGGCCTTTGAAGGTTTGTTCTTAGAAGGACAAGTTAGTTTCTGGAAAGCAAGGTGTGAGTGTCGCAGCCTCTGGATTAGTGATCTAACCCTCTGTCCTGTTGCTGCCTGCAGCTGGCCATCAGCTGTTCTCAGTAACACAGCCAGCCTTTACATGCTGGTGTTATCCCATGCACTCACTGATGCAGGAGTGAACACATCAACACTTAAATTTGGATTCACCATTGTTTTCTTAGCTTTGTGTGCATGTAATGCACATAGTAATTAGTTACCTATAGGCTGAGAGGCTTCTTAAATGCTACAGTTAAGGATAGCTGAAGCAGAGATCTTACAATTTAATCAAAATAAAAGTTAAATAGTCTAACTTACTTCTAACTTACTTCTTTGCTCTCTGCAGAGCTCTAATATAGTACAGTTTAAAATCCAAGTGAGTGATTTCAGCTTTAAGAGTCTAAAGGCATTTTTCAGGTCTTTGAAATTTCATTTTTGCCAGAAGATTATTATCGTTTATGGATCCCAGGTTTCAACTGGAGGACACAATTTTCCATGTGCCCAGTGTGTGATAAGAAGTGTAAAAACCAGGACTGAGATAGGGAACCAAATTATTTTGCATCATGTGTAATCCTGCAGAAATGAATAACAAACAAACATGAACTGTGGAGCAACTTGGTCGGAGCACTCGGAAAACAGGTTTGGTTCAATATCTCACTCAGCCAAAGTGAACCCATGGAGAGAAGGGATACCAGGATACATTGAGGATTATGGGATAAGTCTCTGTTGGTGTTGCAGAAGTGCTGAGATGGGATCTCGCTGTGATTGCAGGGTGCAATCTGTGATTTCTGTGAAGCCTGGGTGTGTCACGGGAGGAAGTGTCTCAGCACCCACGCGTGCATGTGCCCTCTGGCAGATGCAGAATGCGTTGAGTGTGAAAGAAGTGTCTGGGACCATGGTAGGTTGCTCACATTTAAAAATAAGAACATATACATTACACTGCTTTCCTTGCATTGCTTAAGTGAGTGCACCTATATTCTTTATATAGCCTTTTTAGTCTTCATTAAATTAGTCCTTGCAGTATGTTTGTTCAAAGCAAGGATTCTCCCCGTTTTAAAAATAGTCATGTTACAGTGGGGAAAGTAAATTACCTGCTCAAGAACACACAGTGCTCAATTCAGGGATGGTTACGTAATCTAAATTATGATGGTTTTATCAGCTTAATTATTCACATAATTAAGCACTGCATCAAATTGCCAACACAGGTTTCTGCCATTCTTACTCCAGTCTTCTGCACTAGCACGGGTATTTGGATTTCCAGTTGCTTAGGAAACCATACTGATCTCCTTTTCTGAATCTTTTAAAGTGTTTATTTCAAGTGTGTATCAGAGCTGAGCAGAGAAGACTGGATGAGAGTGTGATCTGATTTTAAAAAAATCGTTTATGCTACAGTCAAATTAAAATAAAGAAAAGTACTACAAGTAATGCTTGCTTTATAGTTATACTGTCTTATATTGTAGGATAGGAGGTATTTTTCATTGTAAAAATGGATAGCAGTGTCTAATTAAGACCTTGAAGCATTTGTCACAGAAGGGAGAACTGGTCTTCAGTCAAAACTACCTCCTAAATTGTTTGCAGAGGAGGACTTGATGCCTCTGTCCATTGTTGATTATTTTGCCTTGATAAATCTTTCAGGAGGCAGAATATTCACCTGCTCTTTTTGCCATGATTTCCTCTGTGAAGATGATCAGTTTGAACATCAAGCCAGCTGCCAAGTTCTGGAAGCAGAGACATTTAAATGTAAGTTAGTTATTCATAATCCCTTTCACCACAGCAAAGGGATTATGTTTCCTCTGTGCTTCAGAATACTCTTTGTTTCCTCTGTGCTCCAGAATACTCTCCATCACCTTTCCCAAGTAGATTTTGCCACCCCTGGAGGGAAGGGCCTGTTTTCTATGTACTGGCTTTTGGTATCCAGTTATCCAGACTGGAACTTGTTTCTCTTTCATGGCCCTTCCTCCATGCCAGAGCATACCTGGCAGTTGTTTTCCTGCCAGCCTCTTACAGGAAAGAACTGCTGTTTGTAAGAGGACATGATGGCCATGCCTGACACTGCTCACCCATTACTCATCTCTGGCTGAAACAAGGTGTCTTCGAGGGAAGTTAAAAAAAAGAACAACAATAAAACAAAACAAGACAAGACTTTGCATATTTGAAATAAGTAAATATTTCTAGCAGAATTTCTTGCCTACCCACCATTAAATAGGATTGGATTTATTGCAATACAAGCATTTGTTTGCCTTCCCAAAACTTGCATGCATGTATCTTGACTGTTGCAACATTTTCAATTCTTAGTGTAGAAATTGCAGGTATCTTTATCATAATGCTGTTTTCCTTTGAACTGACTAATCTCTTGTCCTAATTGATTTCTCCTGGTCCAGAATATTTGTGATTTCAGTATTTTAATCAGTGTCTTTAGACATCTCTTATCTTCTTTTCATCTTCCATACTTCTGTTCCTAGCCAGCTGTTTTTTAAGCCTTGCTTAGCTTCTCTTGATGTATTCTGCCAGAATTCCCTAGATGTAATCTGCCAGAATACATTTTCTTCCTGCACAGCAATATTGAGGCAGCAACAGCTGTTCCATAAGAATGTTTCTTCAGTGATTGTTGGAAGCTCTCAATTCCCGCATGTGGTATCACACCCTAAATAGAGGGAGAATTTTTTTGAGGGTTTTCACTGTGTTTTGTGGCACAGAGCAGACTTCATAGAGACAAGATTTTTGTCAGTGAGGTAACAAGATTATAACTTGTATTAAAAATTAAATAAAAATTGTATTTTTACAGAAGACATGAACTTCAAATGTGGTCGTGCAATTGTAGTGTAAATCCATTTGAGCTGTGGAAATGGATTTCCATCACTATCTGAGAGAGGTTTTTGAAGTTCAGGTACTCAAAAAACAATACATATATATTCAGCATCAGCATTTCCAGTTCCATCTTTAAACATGTCATAGCTCTAAATCCCATGTCTGTCCTGCTCATGTGGAGAACTCATTTATTACTTCAGATTGAAAAACTGCTGTTGTAGGGGTTAAACAAGGAGGAAAGGAATGAGTACTTGCACAGAAACTGGAATGTATGTGTTACTGTTTCTTGAGGAGTAACTATTCACCAGGCTTTGTGTTCCTGCCGATTCCTGAGTGTTTGCCTTTACTGAACTCCCTCTAGTGGAATAATAAAAACAATTTGGAGCTCAAGACAAGTTAAATTTTGGCCACTGATTCTGCTCCTTACAGCTTGTGTGCCAGCTCCAGTTCTTTAACACAGGTAGATTCTCTTATGAAGTTTGTGCAGTCAAGTACATTTCCAGAGGATATGACAGAAAATACAGAATGTAACAACTTTTCTAGGTTTGGAAGTTGGCAAGCTTAAAGTGTTCTTATATCTCTTGCACTCCTTCATATGAATGCTGTGAGAAAAGGAAAAGCAAGATGAGACCTCTAACTAAATTGGTTCTGGAACCTCAGGTTTTAAAAGTTTAGAACCTCAAGAAATAGTTAAATGCTTCTCCCTTCTTGAAATTTCACTTTTTGCGTCAAAATGAGGTTAAGAGTTAAGAAAATCTACTAAAATGGTGCTGTGGGGTAAAATGACTGATTCACATTGCCAGAGTAGAGTTGTGTCAGGGAATTAAAAATAAATGCCTCAATTATGGTACTGCATACTTTTACAGGGTTTTAAAGACATGACAGGTCTGCAGTTTCCTAGCACTGAATTTGTCATTCTGCTTTTCTCCAACAGGTGTCTCCTGTAACAGGCTGGGGCAGCATTCCTGCCTGCGTTGCAAGGTAAAGACACTTGTGAGGAGCTGATTTTAGGCTTATTCTCCTTGGCCTCCAAGGCTGGTGTCAGGCCTTCCCACATCTTCCTCTCCATGATTAAAAGGAAACTCATACTTTTGTATTAGTTCCTGTAGCCTGGGGTCAAACCTGTGGGGGACAGAAGGTCTTATATCTGTGCTTGCCTGTTAGCCACAAGGCAGAGTGAGGTGTTGTTCGCCCAGCTCTCTTTCAGTTAGGCCTGCAACGTGTTGGGGCTTTAAAAAACAACCAAGAAAACAAAATAAAGCCTTGGTGGTGAACAGAATCCAAGGCTTTGGAAAATGCTTTGATCCAGTGTGGAACTGCAACCATTAGGAAAGTTGTTCTTTTAAACAGTCAGGTGATTATCTGAGTAGAAACCGCTGCATCCAAAGGAGTAATCCCCACAGCTGATCCAATTATCCATATGAACAGGCTGATTTGTTGGCATTGGGCTTACATTTCTACACACTCAGAAGTAATTTTGTATAAAAAGTTCCACCTTCTGCACCATCAGCATTGTCCAGATTTCTCCAGGTGCTTGTTCATTGCCTGCTCTTGCTCTTCTTACCTTTCATATGTTTTCTCTGCACTCTCCCATGGCATTGGTGGCCTGTTCCAAACAGTTCCTTTTTCCAGGTATTTTCACTGCACCCTGGTGCTCAGCCTGTGAACTTCCCATCTCTAATTCTTTCCTCCAGGCTCCTGCATAGTTTTGTTCTGGCATCCATCTCATTGTGTTTATTTAAGCTTGTCAGCACAAACCCAAGCTTGCCAGGCTCCTTGTGGGCAGCCCTGCAATCCAGCCCTGGATTATGTTACTATCTCTGCATGGTTATTGGCACTTGTGTTCAGCCTCTTCCCCAGAAACCCTTGAACCACACAGAACACAGAGTGCTTCCTCTGTGCACAGACCCCATGTCCACTGCAGAGAGACCTCATTAAATTGTAATGCCAGCCAGAAAACCCTGCTGCTGTTGGACACATTTTGGCTTGCTTGTTGTTGAAGAATGGGCTTCTGTGAATAAAACATTTGGCCTTTGTACTCTCCCTTCACTACACAGGCTTGTTTTTGTGACGATCACGTGCGAAGTAAGGTTTTCAAGCAGGAAAAGGGGAAAAAGCCTCCTTGCCCTAAGTGTGGCCATGAAACTCATCAGACAAAGGATCTGAGCATGTCAAGTAAGCCAGTTTCTCTAGCTAACAAGCCATACAAGTGCCATCAGTGATTATTTTCTACCTAGGAGCACTGAGTAATGTCTGGCTATGTTCAATTGTTTTGCACAGTTTTGCTGCATTTGTTTTGAGCAAAACTTTGTGTTTCTGAGTTCTGGAATTGAGCAGTCTCATTCTCAACAATTAATTCATTCCAAGAAAATGAAAGCTTTTGTCTGGTTTGAGATTTTAGTTGTGGATAAATGAAAAATAATTGTCATTTAAACTACTCTTCAGGTAGTGAAAGAAAGAAATGAAATGTTGGATTAGTGGGAGCATGATGATTTTTCTTTGCCTGCAGCACGTCCATTGAAATTTGGCCGACAGACTGGAGGAGAAGATGCAGATGGAGCTTCTGGTTATGATGCCTACTGGAAAAACCTTTCCTCCAGCAAGGCTGGGGAGGCAGGTGACCGTGAGGATGAATATGATGAGTATGAAGCAGAGGATGATGATGAAGATGACAATGATGAGCGAGGGAAGGATTCAGATTCTGAGACCACGGATGTATTCAGCAATTTGAATTTAGGAAGGACCTATGCTAGTGGCTATGCACATTATGAGGAATCAGAAGATTAAGCTTAGTGTGCTGGCTTTGGCGGAGCCAAGCAATGCTTCACTGAGTTGTGTACATGCTAGTAGGATAGCTCTATCAGGTACTTAGGTATCAGAGTTAGAGAGCAAAGAATGTGGGACTTCTGCAGTAACTCCAAAGGACATTTTTCCTGTAGATGAACTGATGTTAGGTTGGGGACTGGGGGAGAAAATCAAGATTTTTTTTTCCCCTGAAACAACAGAATGGTTTTGTCCTTGAGTTACTGAGTATAATGGTTCAATACCATTTCCTCCTATCAACACAGGAGTGTGGGAAAGCTGTAGCTGTTGCTTCCATTTGCCCATCAGAAACTAAGTTATTTTTTACAATAATTTTGTTAACTGATTTCATACATTATGCAGTGGTGGGTTGGTGACTGCATTTTTTTTTGGTCTGCACAATAAAAGTCAACTGCATTACCTAATGAACTGTCATAATTATTGATCTCCCTTGAATAGCTGGAAAGCAGGTTGTGTACAAAGTGTAAATTGACACTGAAATTACTTCCTTGTTTATGTCAGTATGGCAGATCAAGGTAGTTCTTTGTGTATTTGCACATCACATTTTCAGTATTTTTATTATTAGATATTAATTGGTGGGGCTCTATGTAGTCACTATAAGAGCACCCCAGATAATGAAAACTTTTATGGAAGTAAAATGTTGGTATCCTCTCTGCCACAAAAATCTATAAGGCAGTTTGCCATTAGATGAAAAGAAGACTGGTTTCTTCTGTATCTAGCTTTCAACTCTTTTCCTTGCGTATGATAAAAAAACAGATAGGAAACAATGCTGTATGTGAATTGAGAAGGTGAGAAACCATGGGGGGTTCAAAATGCTGGATGCAAATCCTGTTCTGTGCAAGGCTGCCAGTACAAGGCACTCTGAGCTGAGATGGTGACACCTGCAGAAGTGTTTGCAGTGTTCTGATTGGAAAGTGAACATGTTGATTGCCCATCTACAGATCTAAGTGATGGCATTTATTTTCCCTCTGTAGGGGAATGTTTTACAGCAGACAGATCATGATATGATATGATACAGATCAGATCATGATTGCTTCAGCTTTGTAAATGCCATGCCTTAATGCAAGAGAGCCCTTTTTGTTATCTGTCAAATACCTGAACTGATGATACCATTACCTCCTTTTGTGGTGTTTCTCTACCCTTTCTGAACAGCTAAAGGTCATGTTTTAGCAGAGCATACCCCGTTGAGACTCATTTTTAATGATGTTAAGATTGCCAGATAAACATTTTGTAGCAAAACAGGATTGGAAAACCTGGTCTTGATACTTTCTTCCTAAATACATCTCCTACCAAGAGCTGGGGCCCATCTAGGACAAAGGCAAACTGCCAGAGAGTACAATTGGTTATGGCAGCTGAGGGAGAGACTCCGCAGGAAAGAGGGGCACATCTGGTGAGTGCATGCCTTGAGAACTGCAGAGGAAACAAGTCAGTGCACTTCTGAAAGCCAAATCCCCTTCAAACATTGAAACATCCAACATTGTGTGCAAAGGCCTATCTTAAATGATGTACCTGGGAGATGTCTTCATTAGTCTTTGTCATAACCAAACTTGAAGTAATGGAGTGGGACACCTGCCAGTTCAACACTGATTATTTATTTGTGAAATTGGCATGTGAGAGAGAATTTCTGCTCAGCTTCATGTGGTCCAAAAACTTCCACATTGAGTTCATCTGTGACTGGTCAATTCCAGCAACAATGCCAGATTTTAAATCTTGGCTGATGTTTCAAATACAAAACACCTTTACATCAGTAGCAAGTACTATACAGAACTGAGGAAAATACATGTGGTTATCCATATATGTAAAATTATGGCTGCTTGTATATCATTTATTAATATTAGCCACACAAAACCCCTCTTTAAGGTTCTTGGCTCTTGAATTAGATTTTTCCCCTCTGAAATCTACTGCTGTCACTGGCTGTGCCAAAGGCTGCTGACATAACAGAATTAATCACCATAATCAGGATAATGAATTATTCATTTTCTCATTGAAGTGCCCTTGCACGGATCCTTGCTAGATCAATACTCCGGAGCTCATGTGAGCTCCTGTGGCACACTGGCAGTGAGAGTCACAGCAGGGCCTGCAGCAGATGCTCAAGGTACCTGCTGTAATTTAGCAAGGTCACGTCTCAGTGGACATTTATTTGTGCTGCTGTTCTGACCATTGCAAACGCCTGTGCTGTCAGCCTCTCTGGAAATTGGGATCAGGAATTAGCCCTGCGGTGCCTGGCCTTCCAGGGCTCAGAACAGGCAGGTTTAAGCTGCTTAAAAGTAATCTGGTGGATTCAGGCTGGAGCAGACAAACATGTCAATCTGTGGCAACACAGGCCACATAGGATGGGATGTGTTGGGTTTTCTCTGCTTATCCAGTACAGCTAAAAGCAGCTGCTCTGTTTGGGATAGGCTTGCTTTCAGAGAAAGTGCATAACTTTGGTTATCTTAAGGTAAATGGAAGGAAAAGGATGGAACAGAACATGTGTGGAGAGCTTTGTTCAAACATGGCTCATAGAAAGAGGCCATGAAAATATACAGCTGATGGAAAAGTAAAAGGCAGCTGTAAGCAGCAAATTCTCAAGCCTGTTCCTGTAAACAACAAAATTCTCAGGCACGTTTCTGTAAACAGCAGAGTTCTCAGGCTGTTTTTTAATAGCAAGTAAATATCTTGTCCTTAGATAGTATGGGAAAGCAAAGTGACAAACATGGAGGCCTTGAGAACCGTTCATAACAGGATGAGAAAAACAAGTCTTGGTCTCAATAACAAACCACAGATATTGAAAACAAAAGGAGGGGTTGGTGTGTAATCTGTAGCCAATGATGAGCTCGGGTTTTGCAATATGTATGAACTTAATTAACACGGTTATAAAATGTGCATGTTGGATCAATAAATCGGAGTTCGATGCTCATCAATCGGATGATCGTCTCCCTTCACTTCGTCAAACATGAACATGTATTCTGACTTCATTGAAAAGCAGGTCAGGTACAAAACCATATTGGCTCAATTTTTCTTCATTGCTTACATTTCCTTTAGAAATACTGTCCCTGGTTGAAGGACATTTTGATTTGAGAGTGGGACAGTTCTAACATGTAACCACTGATACCCATGAGTTATGTGTTGTTCTCCAGGAAGCTAAGACCTTGATAAAATCTTACACTTGAGGTTTTTTAACCTCTGTGATGATCATTTTAACAAAGCTTAAGTAGGACTTAAATTAAAATCACAGCAGCATTTATTGTGCCTATAGAACCTGAAAAACAAAAAAAGCTGTGGTCACCTCTGTAAGCTTTTGCATTTCTTTATTATGGTGACAGCACCAGCTCATTATGAATTCATTGGGTGCTTCTGTAGATTTAATGCATTTTCCTTTAAACTCAGGTGTAATTTAGCACCTGTGACTGGGAGTCTTTTGATCAATCCAGTATTGCTCATTCTCTTTCCAGAAAGTGAATGGGAAGATCATTAAAATGTACTGAGCAGCTGAAAAAGTAGTAACAGGCATGTCACAGAGAGTTACAGGCCAAACTTAGAGGTGCTCAGAGTCCTCTTTGTTTAGGCAGAAAAGTGTTAGTGTGTTTTGCAAGACATTACATGCATCTGTCCAGGTCCTGATTCTATTTCCAGAGGAGCCAATGGCAAAGTTCCTATTTATCCAAGTGGAAACAATTCAATAATCTTCAGTATCTACAGTTCATCTTTAATGTCAGGAGGTGTTATGGAACACAACATGAGCCTAAGCAGAAGTGGGGAAGATGAAGCAAAGCTTTTAACATGAGGTTAATATGTTAACCATTAGCATGAAAATATTAGTTCTAAGTTTCAACAGTTGCACTGGAAAGTGCTCTCAAGACTGAAAGATGAAGCTGCTTAAAGCAGGAAGAGATCCAATTCTACAATATGCAGAAATGTAATTAGTCATCTCCCAAAAGTCTTCATGCAATTAATAAATATTTTCTAAAAGCTCAAAGCACTTAGGACATAGACAAATGTTATCATCTCGTTTTTAGGTACATAAATAGAAAACACAGTAGTTGACAAAATCACAGCCTGTCCAGTTGGCAGCAGCCCTCTGCAACTTGGACTCTTCATTCCTACCCATGAAGCTCCAGACTAAGCATATTTTATGACACTCCTTTATTAAGATTATGTGTGCTGTAATTGGCTACTACACATGGGAAATTTGAAGCAAAACCTAGTTTTTAGCTTCCATAAGCAGTTTACACAAAGATCAGCAAGACAATGTCAGAGATGTGAGGAATAATCCATAGAAAAGCCACTAGTTTCCCTTTGCTAAACAAACAGCAGGTTCACAAGCCTGTACTTCAATATGGAACTGGGAGAAAATAAATTGCATTTCTGTGTCTCACCAAATTAAGCTACTACAGATAAGCACGTTTGCTGAGAAACAACTGCTCAGCATGAGAAAACCTATTGTAGCTATCCCAATTGTAGCTCCTACTGTTTTCTCACACTAAAGTATGCTAAAGTGTTTGTTGCATTATTTTAAACCTTACTTCTACAGCCTGTGATTCTCCCAAAGTGTTTCCCAGCTTAAATGGAATTTGAAATTCACTTTGGTTTCCTTCTGAAATGAGAAATACTGAGTGCCTCAGGGCCCAAGTAATGTTTTAACTTCATCTTGATGTTACATCACATCTATTGTAGATTTTCACATTACAAAAACACTAATTAAAAAAAAAAGAATTATTAGAGTGTAAAAATGCCAATCCCCCCACAAGTTCCTTAACTGATAATACAAGTATTTTACTGCTATAATTGCCTGTTGCTGTTCCTACTGTTTTATTTTTGGCATAGAGTAAGAGGTTGATTATTTTGAAAGCAAATCCCTGCTAGTCAGGGTCACAAACCCTTGGCCTGCCTCCTGTCTGATTTAAACTCAGCCCCTTGTTTTGATGGCAGAGGCAAGGATGGGCTTTTTTTTGCCAAAGCACTCACAGTTCCTGTGGAGCACTGTGCAATTCCTTACCAGGCATTTCGCACATACAACCAGTGCTGCCAGATTTGGAACATTAAAATAATTCGGAAGTTAGACAATAAATTGCATTCCTTCCACATTCTCCATGCTTTCTTGATGTTGCATGCATTTCAAAGATTCCCTCTTAACATTTACCTGCTAGTACTGCACAAGCACACTGCTGTGATCTACTGTCAAAAGCATTTCTGAGCAGACGGGGCCAACATAAAACGTAGCATATTCCATCTAAGCATAGATGCACCTTCAGAAAAATACTGCTCTTCTGTTCAACACTTCACAAAGTCACCAGCAAATCAACAGCTTAACAAGCCTTTCCTGTAAGCACCATTTCTGACCTTGCTTTAAGTCAGCAGGTTTTGGTCAACCAAGGGCAGACCTGTGCCCAACATCCTGCTGGTGCTGGAGTTT